GCGCGCCCCGCCCGCCCCGCCCCGCGCCAAATTCGAACCCAATTACTTTCCCTTTCCCACCGCCTTGCCCGAGCCTCGCCCTACACGGCACGGCGATCATCGCGGGCCCCGGCAGCTCGCCGACGAACACGCCGGAGACCGCGCCGACGGACCGCGTAGCCTGACCGCACTGAGCGCTCTGGGCATCGGAGGCGCCAATTTTAAATAACTCCGCCTCGGCGAAGACGGGACGGCGGTGGTCATGCGACCCGCCCCGCGGAGACTTGCCCGCGAGGCAGCACGACAGCGCGGCCCGCTCTGTCTCTCTCGCACTCACGGGGCGTCGCGGAAGGGTGCGAGAGAGACAGAGACTTTAGGCCGTGAAATGGAAGCGAGGCGGCGGCCCTGGACGCTTGACTGGCCGTGGGCATAAAACATGGCGGCTGCGTCGCAGAGCGTCCAGAGCGTCTAGAAGCAGCGGCCGAGGAGGAGGACGACACCGCCTTTCTTTTGCCCACGATCGTCCGCGAGTCATTGCTAATTGTGCGCGTTTCCGGCCAAAACGGCCAAAACGCCGCCGGCTCCGATCCAACGACGGCCGCGGTGCCCTTGGCTGCCAGCCTGGGCTGTCCGCCGTGGCTGCCTGCCTTGGCGGGGCGGCCGGGCCGACGCCGAGCCTCCAGGACCTCCACCAGATCGCGCGGCGCGGCGGCCGTTTTGCCGGCAAAATCCGCCGTGCATCACAACGCCCAGCGGGCTGTCGCTCCGTCTCTCTCGCACTCACGGCGCGCCTAGTGGGCACCGCGAGGGTGCGAGAGAGACAGACTCTGCTGGGCGCGCGGAATCCCGCCGCGTCATTTCACGAGAGCAATTTATTAAGCCGGGCTTTTTTGTGGGCCGCGCTGCCGCGCTGCTGTCCGGTGGCGGCGAGGCGTCCCTCCAGTCTGTCTCTCTCGCACCTGTGCGGGACACCCTTCGAGTGCGACAGAGACAGAGCGACCAACTCGACTCTCGGACTCAGTCTGCTGGGCCTTCTTCGGGGGAATCCGAACCACGCCGTCGAGGAGTCGCGGCGTCGCGGGGATGCTGCGCCACATCCCTCGCGGCCTTCGGGGCCCTCCTCGGGGCCCGCCGGCCAGCACACTGAGAGTCGTCTTCGTCGCTCTGTCTCTCTCGCACCAGTACGGGACGCCCCATGAGCGCGAGCGAGACAGAGCGACGAAGACGTCTCACGGAGTCGGTCTGCTGCCGGACGGGCAGGAAGAGCTCGGGGCCGCTAGGAGTAATTCATCGGGACGCCAACACATTTTCCAGTACGCGGAGCAGAAGTGTGCGGCAGGGGTTTCGAGACTCTCGAGCGAGGTCTCGAAGGCCGAGCCGGCTGAGCCGAGACGGGATGGACCGACAGCGCCCTGCACCACGCCGTCGCCACACTGATGGAACGCATACCGACACAAACTTTTGTCCGAGCATTAAAAAAACACTGCGTTTCCGAAAATTAAAAATAAAGTAAAAGGTCGAAGTCCAAATGAATGATAGTGCGGCTAAGCAAGGCTTTTTAATTTGACTCTTTTTTTCTTCTTTTCAGAGGACGCGACGGTAGGCGCGCCTAAACGTATTCATAGCCGTTTCGCTGAGACCAGGGACCCCGAAATGAGCTCCGTCGCCGTGGCGTCGCCGTGGCGTCGCCGTGGCGTCGCTGGCCCACGACGGCGACATCCTCCCTGGTGGTGACTCAGAGGCATCCGTATGCCGCGCGTCTCGCATCCTGCGACGCGTGCCCGGCCCAAGCCCAGCACACTGAGAGTCGTTCTCTGTCTCTCTCATGGGGCGTTCCATACTGGTGCGAGAGAGACAGAGCGACGAAGACGACTCTCGGAATCGGCCTGCTGGCCCATCCATAAGCAAGTGCGCGGGGTGGGTGGGTTTGGGTGGGGTGCCGCCTACCGCACTAAACGGCCATCCGCCCAGCCCAGCAAGCCAAGCCCCGTCCGCGACGCCACATTGTCACCTTTTCGGGCGGCAGAAAGTACCGCTCCAAAAACAGCAAAAAAAAAAGTTGTTAAAAAAATTTATGTCTTTTTCAAATTTTCAATTTTTGAAAAAAGTTATTAGCGTATTAATTTTTTCATTTTCTAAAACGCTTTATTTCTAATTTTTTTTTTCAAACGCTTCATTACTGTTTTTTTTTTAAATAATGATTAAAATTAGCCTTCTCCGAGCAAAGCAGATTCTTGACAGTCGCGTGGCAGTGCGGGGCACTTTGTTTATGGAAACTGACCACGGGGCGTGCCCGGGTGTGCCGGTGGTCTGGGAGCGCAGAGGGCGTCATGCACCGCCTTCCAGGCATTGGAGAAGGTCACATAGGCTTCACCTGGCGCCGCGTCGCGTCCTATTCATAGGCGCTAGAGCGAGCGCGTGCACCGTCTGCCTAACGGACGAGCAGGGCCGCGGCCCCGCCCTGCTGAGAAGCGCCTTTTTCTTTTTCTACTTACAAGAGCAGCACGACAGAGAACAATGAGTACATGATAATCTCTCGGCAGCGTGTCGCGAACCGCACACCGCCAGATTCAGATCCAGATCCGGACGCACGGCCTCATCACACACACGCAGACATACATGCACACACACACAGAGGTACACGAGCGTGCCGTTGCGTGATACACTGGCGTCCGTGTCTGTGTGCGCTCCTATGCGCGCACTCGTGTGTATGTGTGTGTGTGTGTGTGTGTGTGTGTGTGTGTGTGTGCGCGGCATAAACATTACTACAACACGAATAGCAAAAACACAACAGCCGCTCCCGACCGGCCGACAAAGCCGCTTGCTGCGTGCATACGCCTCGGACAACGCCCGGCCCCTCCGCCCCCCGGCCTATGGAAGGCCTATGGCAGGCCCATGGCAGCATAGCCTGCCGCCCTTTCGCGTGGTTCGGCCAAAGATTGTCTGACTATTCATTTATTGACGGCTGCATCTGCTTAGCGGGGCATCGAACCGTACGGACCGGCCATTGTAACAGGGCTAGGACACGAAGACCCCCCGGGGGCCGTACGACGGCGCGGCGCGGGGCGGGGCGGTGGCGCGCATACCATTCGCGTGTCACGAGGGGATAGGATGGGATACCGCGCGGAGAAGCGAGCGGTGTGCGATGGGCGCAGAAAAGGAAACGGTGGCAATTGCCTGACTTTTGGCGGCCACTGCGTCCAAGCTCGGCCGGAAAATCGTACTCCTTGCACGCACGGTGCGGTGGACCTGTGCTAGTTCAAAAATTGGTTCTGTCTTTCCGCTTTGCGGGCCGCGCACGGAGCAGCGCTCGTTCCGGGGCGCGAAAACACAAACACACACAAACGAGGGCCTTGGGGCACGCCTTGGGGCCGCGGGGCACGCCTTGGGGCACGCCTTGGGGCACACCTTGGGGCACGCCTTGGGGCACGCCTTGGGGCACGCCTTGGGGCACGCCGAGCGTCACACGTAACGGTGCGTCGCTCTAATACGGTTACGCGGGGCGTGACGAAACCGCTGCTCTTCTTCTCCTGCTTCAGGAAAACACACGCGCACACACACACACACACACACACACACACACACACACACACACACACACACACACACACAGCAAGGGTCTGACAAGTTAGGTCGCTGCTGGCCGCGCAATATTACAAAGCCGAAGGTTAATGTCGCTGTGCAAAGCGATATTCCGAGGGTCGTCGGTCGCTCTGTCTCTCTCGCGCTCTGTCCCTTGTGGGGGTGCGAGAGAGACAGAGGCGGCTGTCTTTGAGAGATGGATGGCGGACGTACGGCGCGCTTGTCTGCTCGCTCGCGGTGCACGCTGCGCTGCCCGCAGCGGACAGCAGTCGCTGCGTTCCAGCGCGGCCGGCGCGGCCGGCGCATGCAGACGGCCTGGGAATTCTGCAGTGACGGCACGGGGTATCGACCGCGTGGTATGCAGCCCGCCGGACTCCAGGCTGACTCCAGGCTGGAGTCCAGGCTGACTCCAGGCTGGAGTCCAGGCTGACTCCAGGCCAGACTCCAGGCTGACTCCAGTAGCGGCGCGTCGAGCCTGGCAGCGCTCCAGCCGTGGCTCCGGCCCCGGTGCATGCAGGCCGCAGCCAGGCTCCAGCGCGCGGAGCGGAGCAGCCCCAGGCCTTGTCCAGTCAGGTCGCGAACCTGCCCCCCTTCCCCTCCCCTTCACGCACGCTCATCTAATGGCTGCAGAAGGCTCCCTGCTACGCGTAGCCGGTTACGACTGCCGTTGCGGACTGAGAGTCGTCGCTCCGTCTCTCTCGCACCTGTGCGGGACGCGCCGTGAGTGCGAGAGAGACGAGCTGCCGCCACTCGCGCTGGGAGGCAGAGATAGGCATGCAAAGCAGCTCGCATTCGGACGGCAGTCGGACGCCAGTCGGCATTCCAGTCGAACGCTTCAAAAGCGGCCCCCAGGGCCTCCCCGGGGTAGGCGGGTCGCGAGCACAGCGCCCCGTCCCGGACTACGCATCCCTGCGAGAGAGACAGGGATCCTTTTCCATCGAATGTTGTGCGGCATGGCGCCTCGGCCCTTTCTCCGGCCGGGACTTGGCCGGGACGTAACGCGATATGCATGCAGATGGCCGCTTCGCTTCCCACGGTCGCGGACCCCACCGCCGTGCCCCGTCGCACCGTGCTTGCCTTGGGCCACACCAAAGCCACCGGCAAGGATCCGGCTGCATCTCGCAAATTTAAAGTAGTGAAATGAAGTAAAAACAACTGCGCCCGGTTGCGTGCAATCAACGCGCTTGACGTAGGACGGCGGCCTAGTTGGCGGGGGAACCAGCTGATCTGGTTGGCGCGGGTTCAACTCCCGCCGGCGGCCGCAGCCTTCACGTTCATTGCCAATTTCCTCCGGAGAAAGAGGACGCGCCAAAATGTTTTGCATTTCCAGCCGAAACCGCTCGCCGTCTCCTCATCGCAGACTTCCCGCCGTCACGGCCGACGGGCAGGTGCAGGAAGCCCCACCACCACACCACAAGCAGGCCGACGGGCAGACTTACCGTTCTACTTGTTTCTATTAATAATATCCAGACGACTAGAGGCAACAAAAACTTCATTTTTGCTGTAACAGAAAAGAGAAATGACATTTAGTACACGGACAGGGTCTCAAACACAAACACGCAGCAGTACCGCAGTGCAACCAGCTACCATGACACTCGTCCTAGATCGCCCGGAATGAATGAATGAATGAATGAATGAATGAATGAATGAATGAATGAATGAATGAATGAATGAATGAATGAATGAATGAATGAATGAATGAATGAATGAATGAATGAATGAATGAATGAATGAATGAATGAATGAATGAATGAATGAATGAATGAATGAATGAATGAATGAAGTGAAAGAAGGAAGGAAGGAAGGCAGAAAGGAAGGAACACCGTGATTTTACCTCGTGGCATGACTCAAACACTCCGGAGCGCCGCGCCTCACATACACTAACACACACACTCTAACACTCACATACGCAAATCAAATAACGCGGCCGACCGCAAACTACTGGATTGGCGCGCCACTATACAAAGTGCCTCGTTGTTCCAGCCGGGTGCTAACACTGTACCCACTCCGCGGCCACCTCCCGGCCTGGCTGTCCCGCCTATGGCACGCCTATGGCACTGCCGCGACATGGGCGCGCCCGGCTGGCCGCGGAGGGACAGCGAGGTTGTCGAACGCTGCTGTGCCCGACAGTGTGGCGGCTAGCTCTCGCGGCACGGGGCACGGCGAGACGAACCGCGTGCGCAGTGTGGTGGACGGGCACGCGCACGCCCCACGCCGCACGCCTCGACTGGTCGCGGTCGCGCGTCGCGGACCTGCCTGGCCATTGGGCCCGACCGCCAGCACGCGTGCGGCGTGGGGCGGGGCGGGGCGAAGCGGGGCGCAAGGATCCCATCCAGGCGGAGCAGAGTCCACATCACAGAGAGAGAGAGAGCCACCAAGACGTCTCTCTAGCCCCGCCCGCACGGTGCATTCTCTCTAAACCAATCGCCTTGTCTCACGCGCTGTTTTTGACAGTAAAATTCCCCCTTCCCCTCCCTCCTTTCCCTCCTCTCGGACCACTTCCCCTCCACACACACACACACACACACACATTCTCACACACAGACACATTCTCACACACATTCTCACGCCAAATTACACGCACAGCGCGTTGCGGCCTTGCGCCCTCTCATCATCGCAATAAAACAATTGGTTTTTTGGCGCTGCCGCTGTGTCTGGGTGATGGATGTCGCTGCACGCCTCGAGACAGGACGACAACAACAACAACAAGAGGGAAGCGCGTCCCTTCGCGTGTACCGGCCAACAACACAGCGACATGAGGCCCACGGGAGCGTCTCAGGAGGGCCTAACCTCACCCACCGCGCCGAGGCCCAGCCCGGCCCGGCCCCGCTCGGCTCACGTACTCGCACTCGCGGGGTAATGCGGTAATGACAAGCCCATCCAAAACGGACGTGTATGCACCGCTTTACAGGACCGCGGAAAGGGAGAGGAGGAAGGAGGAAGCGGAGAGGAGGGAGAGAGAAAGAGAAGGTGGCAGGATGCAGGAAGGGACTCGAAACGAAGACTTTTAGAGCAGTGTGGCGGAGTAGGAAGTTGGCAGCGGGGAAGTCGGTTTAAACTAAGGAGACAGATAAGAAATGCCAGAAAATCGGTCGGAGCCAGGCTATTGAACGCGCTGGTCCGGCGGCGGTTCAAGACGGGAGCCGGCCTCGGCGGGGCCCTCTCAGGGCGTGTACACCGTAAGGAAGGCACGGCGCCCCGAGCGGTCCATCTATTTACACATAATTACACGGGTGTAGGGCCGCCACGCATGGCCTGGTGCAGCGGGCCTGACCCGCGCACGCCGCGGCGCCGTCCGCACTGACCTCGCCACGACAATGGGAAGCGGTGCATCCCGGTGCATCAGAGCACGTGCATCCGTTGTCCACGCTCCGGCGCGCACACTGCAGCACACCGCGTCCTACGCAGCCTGCTGCACTATTAGTGCAGCATCCCGTCACCTTGGCCGCCGGCCTGCTTCCAGACACCGTCAAAAACATTTTCAAAAAAAAAAGTTTTTCGTTGTGTTGACTATGTCTTGTCATTTTGAACGAGCCGCACAGCAGACTCTGACCGTAAGCGCGTCGCGCCGCGACGCCCACCTCGCTAATGACGTCATTACTACATGGCGCCTCGAGGCCGTCGCGGTGGGGGGACAACGGGACATACGTCACGTCACTCAGTCACCGGCACGTCGCCGCGGCTCGGCTCGGCTCGGCTCGGCTCGGCCCGGCTCGGCTCTTCGATCAAAGGTATCACTTTCAGTGTGTGATTGGGAGCGGCGAAAGTTTCGGGGCGGCCGGGCGGCGGCCGGGCCGCGAGACGTGCGGGGGTCGGGCTTCACGCGGCGCGGCGCACGCGCACGCAAATGAGGTGCTTTGGCTTTCGCGAGGCCGCGTCCACCGGCGTGGCGACACCAACAGAGTCGTCGCTCCATCTCCCTCGCACCTCTACGGGGCGCCCCACGAGTGCGAGAGAGACAGAGCGACGACTCCGGAGGCTGACGACGCGGCGCTACATCCCGGAGGCGGCAGACAGACAATCGCCCGTTAATGAAGGCTAATTTCTATTAACTCCTCTCTTCCGTATTCGCCCCGAGGGCCTTCGACCCGTCGGCCCTTGGTCTTCGGACGGCCGGCCCTGCCGAGGTGTTCATCTCGTGCCGCCCTGCCGCCCTGCCGCCGTGGCGTCGCCGTCGAAGGCTCGGCCCGCCACTAACACTGACAGGCCGCGGCCGCACTGGAAAAATACATTACCACACTCGATCCATCGGCCTGCTTCGACACGGTCCGACACACACACGCACACACACGGCGAGAGGGCTCTCTAATTGCCGGCCTAAATGAGCCAATCACTATTTTTGACAGTGGCGGCGCGGCGAGGCACGACCTGGAGGCGATGAGGCGTCACCTCGTGAACGCACGCACGCTCGCACGCACAGAAAACATTTTGTTGTTGTTGTTTTTTTTTTTTTTTAGTTTGAGTTTGTCGGTGACGACAGTTTCCTCGTCCCCGAGAAGGAAGCGAAGTGCCCCGAGGCGATCGAGTCCCCGAAGAGCGCCATTTTGACGCGCCGCCCGAGTCGCCGCCGCCCAAGCGTCCGAACCCAAGTTTTTCCTTTTTTTTCGGCCGTTTTTGTTCTTGTTTTTATCAGCGAGTGCAGCGCGCGGCGCTCCGGAACCAATGAAAGTGATTGGCGCGGCCTGCCTGTCGAAAACGAAACGCGAAAGGAGGAGAAGGCGGCGAACGAACGCGGCGGACTGTTTCGGGCCGGCCTTTCGAAACAACGACGTGCCTCGGCCCAACTACTTAGGGCAGACGTGATCCCCGCGGCACGACGGACGGAGAGAGAGAGAGAGAGAGAGAGAGAGAGAGAGGGAGAGAGAGAGAGAGAGAGAGAGAGAGAGAGAGAGAGAGAGAGAGAGGCACGCGCAGGGAGAGCTCCGCCCCAAATACCCCCGAATGCAGAGTGCGTACTCCGTGACTCGGAAAAGGCGAGGGTTGCGAAAAGTTGGGAATTTAGGTGATATTGTTGTTGTTGTTGTTGTTTCGAAGCGCACTTTGTTCCGGTGGCGCACCCGATGGTCCCGATGATCGTACACGACCAGGATCGCGACTTCGCTTTGGGCGCGGTGCGTCTGGGCGGCGCCGCTCAGACAAAGGACGGACAGACGGACAGACAGACAGACAGAGCGGCGCTGCCAAGGCGCTGCCACCGCGGGGCTCGTGAGTCACAGGCGGTCACAGACAGTGAAAGCGGGCGGTGGCGTGGCGTAGCGTAGCGGTCCAGCATCAATCAGCCCGTCAAAAAGGGACACCTGTCAGAGAAGAGGACCGCAACTGCCGAGGAAGGGCTGCGTTGTTAGGGTTCTTTTTCCGGCGGCCACCGCCTGGGAGGTAGGCAATAGGCAGCCCGCCGGGGCACGGCCGCGCGACGGGCCGGCCTACCTCCCAGGCGGCTCGCCGTGGAGGCGGTCGAAATCGCAGACGCGTTCGGAGCTCCAGAGTCGCTAAATGGGCCTCGAACCTAACGAGTGACCCCACCAATGGATTGCTCTCCGAACGAGGAATCCATTGGTGGGGTCACACGCTCGGTTCGAGTCCCGCTTAGCGACTCTGGAGCTCAAAACGCGTCTGGCGCTTCGGCCGCCTCCGCCGGTCTTCTGGCCCACTGTGGGCCCACACTGCGCCGACGACACGGCCGCCTCCATCCGTGAAGCCTGCACTGCAAGACGCTGCGATGCGATCGGCGCACCGCGCACCTGATGCCTGGGCTGTGCGAAGCCGCCTCCAAGGCCACATTTCGTATGAATATGCGCGCGGGCTGGACGGCCGGACAGCCGAGCTGGCAGCCAGGCGGACAGCCAGCCAGGCAGGCAGCCAGGCAGGCGGAAGGAAGGAAGGCTGGCGGTGGCGCCGTGGGCGTGCGCACCAATTCGACTCGGTGCATTCGGCCGTTCGGCCGTTCGGCGGGGCGGCCGTTCCCCGCGACACCGTTCCAATGGTTCCACGTCCGGGTGGCTGGGGCTGGCTGGGACTCGCCGCGGAGCGCTGTGGAGCGCCCTTGACGGCCGCCACCTCGGCCCCGCCCGGCTCGGCTCGGCTCGGCTCGGCTCGGCTCGGCTCGGATCAACGCATGCTAATACCGCGATGGCTGGCGGGGCTGGCGGGGCTGGCGGGGGCGCAGCCACCGCCGCGGACGATTAAATCCGAGAGGGGAGGGGGGAGGGACGTTGGTTGGAAAATCAAGACCATTCTCTCCATCACACACTCACTCACACACGCACACAAATCTATTCAAGACCGACCACAGGGAGGGGTTCAAGGCGACGTCAAGTGCTCCCCCCCCCCACCACCACACACACACACAGGCAAACAGACCAACAACAACGACGGACAAAAGCGCATCCAAAAAAATCGCGCGCGCGAGAAACCTCCTTTTTCCAGCGGACTGTACCGCGCCGCGCGATCAAACGTCCGCCGAGCCTCTCCGACCGCCAAGCCGCGCCGCCAGGCCGCCGA